AAAAAATGAAGTTGAATCCCTTTCTCACATACCCAAAAATGAACTCATAATGGATCATAGAACTGAATGTAAGACCTAAAACTATAAAACTCTGAGATGAAAATATAGGAGTAAATCTTCATGAGCTTGAGTTAAGCAAAGCCTTCCTACATGTAACACTGAAAGCACGACTAACCCAAGAAAAAATAAGCAAGTTGAACTTCATCAAAATTTAAAACTTCTGTACTTCAAAGGACACCATCAAGAACATGAAAAGACAACTTAGAGAATGGAAGAAGATATCTGCAATCATATATCTGATAAGGGACTTATATCTAGAATAGAAGAAAATAAGCACATGACAGGATGCTCTACATCAGCAGTCATCAGGGAAATGCAAATCTAAACCACAGCAAGATACCACTTCACACCCACTAGGGTGGCTATAATAAAAAAGAGAAATAACAGGTGTTAGTGAGGATGTGGAGAAACTGGATCCCTCATACTGCTGGTGGGATTGTAAACTGGTGCAATCACTTTGAAATACAGTCAGGCAGTTCCTCAAAGGTTAAATATAGAGTTACTATATGACTCAGCAATTCCACTACCAGGTATATAATCAAGAGAAATGAAAAACATATGTTCACATAAAAACTTGTACAAAAATGTTCAGAGCAGCATTATTCATAATAGCCCCAAACTGGAAACAACCCAAATGCCTAGCAATAGGAGAAAAAAAGATATTATGATATATCCATGCAATAGAACATTAATGAACAATAAAAAGGAACTGCTATACTCAACAACATGGGTGAATGTCACAGATGTTGAGTGAAGTTCTAGGTCAGGCAAACAATGTATAGTGATAGAAATCAGACAAGTGGCTACCTGTGGGAGGTAGTAACTAGGAAAGGGCATGAGGGAACCTTCTGGGTTATAGTTCTATGGTTCTATTCACTCTGAGTGGTGATTGCATGGTTATACACATTCATTAAGTTCTACACTTTAGATGCGTGCACTTTATGAAAATTCAAATTGTATCAAAATTCAAAATGTGTCAAAAAGAAAAAGATATAGAGCATTTAGTATAGTACCTGTTCCAAAGAGGACACTCTGAAAGCCCGATGTCCTTGTGAACGTTTCTTTGTGAGATGAGCTATTCCAGCATGAGAAGACTGACAGCTGCCATTTGTTCCCTGGTACTTTATGTTCCAAGACTAGCTGGATCATAACTGTCTAGATAAAAGATGCTTGAGAAACTCGGATGTACCTTCTTCTGCCCTGCCCTTCTATTCTCAACCCCGTCCTGGGTTTCTGCCCATCTTTTACAGGCTATGCAGTTACCGCCGGCCACTTCTCTCACCTGTCCACCACCGATGTGGTAGGAGGCGCCCCGCAGGATGAAGGCATCGGAAAGGTGAGGAGAAAAACGTCCGTGGAATAGCGTGGGGTCAGACAGAAGAGGGGAGCATGCCGCCGCTGTTATAGCAGCTTGTCAGCTTACTTTGATCTGAACGTTTTGCTGAGTGGCTGGCAAGTAAGTGATGAAGTATTGAGGAGCCCTCTGTGTCCTTCCAATCACTTTTGAGAGCTGACCTTGAAAGCTTAATCATGGTGTCGATACACCTCTCAATTCTTTGCACGTTCACATCTGAGAATGTTTTTTACAGCTGACCGTGTGTGTGTGTGTGTGTGTGTGTGTGTGTGTGTGTGTGTGTGAGGGGACCTCACAGCGGTGTTTACAGGAGTCAGAGGTAATCGATTGATCGATTGATTAAAAAGGACCCTGGCATCATGGCATCCTCTGGAGGATTGGTGTCCAGTGCTATCTAACTTCAAATCTTCCATTCTTCCAATCCTTCCCAAGTTTGACTTTCATTTAATGGAGCCAGATCTAGTCCAGATATCTTTGGGAATTTATTTATCTTTGGGCCTAGATTATTTCTCCAGTGTTTTAGAACTCAGAGTGGTTCAGCCCAAAGACTGGACTAGGAGTATTTGGGATACTTTCCCTGAAGTATCTGCCCATAGTATACAAAAGATCCCTCAGATCTAGGGCTGTCTGCATCCCTTTGGAATCCGGACCTCTGTGGGGCCTGAAGGACCGAGAACTGCTTGGTTTTTTCTTTTTTCTCTTCTCTTCTCCTCCCCTCCCCTCCCTTTCCAGAGTACAGGAAATCCAGATCGAGTAGATCCAGATAAGTCAAGGAATCTGCATTTTTAATAAACTCTGTAGGTTCTCTGATGGGAAAGATTGAACAGAGGAATGACAGTTGGATCTGAGCCCATGAGTGGACCTACGATAGAGTCTGGCAATATCTCCAGGAGCTCGGAGAAGTGGCATCTAGATTCTGAAGAGGCCCGGATGGGCCAGGGCCACTGTCCGTTGGAGCCTTCAGCCAGGATGTTAGTATGATCAGCCAACGAGGCTTGGCTGCTTTGTGTTCATGAGGATCATTTTCCTGGATCCTCCAGGCAGGATTTAGGAGCCACTACTCATGTTTCTGGAGCATGTGCCTCCTCAGCCCTGACACCCATGCTATGGGAAAGATTCTCTGAAAATGAAATCAGGTAAAGCCCAGAGCACCAAGCAGCAGGAGGCAAACAGATGAACTCTGATGGCTTCAAGAAAGATGTAGGTCTTTTCAAGTCACATGAATTCTTCTTACACGGTAGAGTGAAGAAGGAGCATCAAGAGCTGTCCCCACCTTGATAAGTCTTCCGGGGAGGGGCTGCAGGACCGAGGCATCTCTGTAGCATTGGTAAAAATTTTTACCTCCCAGTTCACAGCGGTGCGGATGCTTCAGTGGTGATGACAGCAACTCTCCTCAGCAATGGCAGAAAACTTGATCTAATTGCATTGTCTTCTCTTCAGATGGTTGAGATGACTGCATAGTCCCTGTCAAGTCTTAAGATGAGAATGGGATTTATAACTAATAGAGCCAGGTAGAGAATCCTGGGTCCAGTGGAAAAAGAACATGAAAATGCTGCTTTTGTCTGGACCACATGACAGGTGTTGGAGAAACTGGTCATAATTGACAAAATTGTTGTTTTAAAATACCAGGAAGGGGGTTGGTACAGACCTGATTCCCAAGGATCCCAGAATGGACATCTGGCCTCCAGGATTTTGGTCATCATTCATTCCTGGTGTCAAGACACGAAAGCATTCACACTAAGATGGCGGTTCTTTACCCCATGACAGAGTCCCCTGCCCTGGTTCTCATGGGACATACTTCCCATAAAATGCACCTTGAAAAAGAACTTCTGTATCATGTCATTTAGAAAGTTCTCCAACAATGATCCTCTTTGTGGTGGAGATTCATGGTGTAAACGTGCCCACTAAGGGCTCAGAAAAGTCCCACGGTAAAGGAACTTATTTAATGTTTAACTATGGTGTTTCCCAAACTAAACTCATATTTGCCCAGGCAGATCTCATGGTGCTAATGTTCTGTGGTATCACTTTGGAAAACTGTATTGTCTAAAATACATCCCTCGCTCTGTCTTAATCTTGACATGACTGCTAAAGCTCTAACTAATAGGAATAAAGGACATATGTCAAAGAAGAAAATGTTTTTCCCAAGAGTTGAATTGCTGACTAGTAATTTGGAAGTTCCTTGGGTGGTCCCCATCGGCAGTGTGGCTCAGGAGCACTGGAGGTGATCTCTGCCTCAGGACTGAAGGACATTTCCTTTGCAGAGATGATAAAGTAAGAGCTATGCTGAGCTCATCATTATCAGCCAGTGTAAGCACTGTGCCGAACCCTGTGCCTGGCCAGGCATTTCAGTAGGACTCCCAGGAGGATGATGATAAATATCTTTGACCATTGCTTCCAACTTAACTGGATTTTTTTTTTTTCATTCCATAGGTTTATATTTTTAGAGCTGACCGAAGATCAGGCACCTTAATTAAGATTTTTCAGGCATCAGGTAAAAAGGTGAGATTCTTGGTATAAGTGTCTTTTTTGTTTGAGAGATGCCATATGGGAATCAGTTCTTACTTTTTGGAAAATTGGTTTAAAGCAGCAGTTTCCAACCTTTTTGGCACCGGGGACCAGTGCTCCTATGAGAATCTAATGCCTGATGATCTGAGGTGGAGCTGAGGCGGTGATGCTAGCGCTGGGGAGCGGCTGCAGATACAGATGAAGCTTTGCTTGTCTGCTGCTCACCTCCTGCTGTGTGGCTTGGTTCCTATCAGGTCATAGACCAGCATTGGTCTGCAGTCCGGGGGTTTGGGAATCCCTGGTTTAAAGGCCCTAACTGTGCCCTAAGTTTATACGGCAGCTCCACTGCCTCTTGGTAGCTTTACTTTCTCAGCATTGCATATGTGATCTGCAGATTCATGGGGTTCATGCTTGTTATAGGAGACATGTAGCAAGATGAGTTTGTACATGGCCAGGTTCCAGCACAGAGCTTTAAAAGGCTGTCCATCATTCAGACACTGTCATCGAAATTTCTGCACGCTCAGTTCCTCTGTGCCTGGCAATCCTTCTCTCCCTCTCCATCTGTCCGTCTTCATTTCATACGTACACATCTACACCTCCCCAGACATCACACACGGTTGAGTACAGGAAGCAAACCCATGATATATAACCGATTACTTTCGGAGGAGGTACGTAGACGAATGGTTTTCACTCCCCATATCTCACCAACCCAGCGGCTGTCCCCTCCTCGCATCCTGAGCCCGCCTCCGCCGTTGCCAAGGGGACGGTTGTCACACAAAGGAAAACCAAACAAAAGCCACCCGTTTCCCTTAAGAACCTTGAAATAGAAATAGCTCGGGAAGGCTGTCCGCAGCTTAGTCCTGGGCAGGGTTTGTTTGCCTGTGTTGTCTTGTCGTCCTCACCCTCTCCCTAATCCTAATTCCTATTAATACTGCACCATAGTCTGAAAGTAAGCCAGCTGGAGACTCCTTTGATTAATACACATGGGTTTATTAGTCATGCACACCCAATGTGGCTATGTCAGCGGGATCCTTTAGTGTGACTGGCTGCCCTAAGGGGACAGGCATTCAGGTTGGAAGATGAGGTTGGTCATTCGGAGGCTCATCTTAGCAGAGGCCTTAGGTCCAGGACGAAGCACAGGACACCTGGGTCTTGGGAGGGAGATGCTAGGAGATAGGAAAATGTCAGAGGGTGATTTTACCTATCACTACCATGAGAAAGGGGGAAAAATGATGTTTCCTCTCTGAGCGGCCATGCGCCTCAGCCCCGGTTCAGTTCCTGCTGTCCACAGCCTGGCAACCTTACATACTGTTCTCAGAGTAATCCTATTCTGAGTTCCCCAAGTCCCACTCACCTTTTGCAGTTTTAACAACTTTAATATATATACTCAGTATATAATTGTCATAATCTTTTCAACAAAGAATGCATCACCAGACTCTGTTTTGTGAAGTTTTCCCTGAGTACAGTCCTGTTTTTCCCTGGGAACTGGGCTGGTTTGTATTATTTTAACATTTCCAAACCCCAAAGCAGCAACCCTGGAAAATGACTGTGAGCGATTCTGCAAAAGATGTTTTCCAAGCCCCCCTAAAGTTAGAAAATAAATAACTCCATGGCATTTGTGATTAAAAAAAAAAAAATCTCAATGAGCAAGTAGCGGGTGAATGCTGCTAAGCCTAACATTTTAGATTTTCCTCTAAAGAATAATTGACGGGTAAGCGTGTCTCCTGTGGAAAACCCAACCCTTCTGCTCCCCTTCAAATGTACCTGGGTTTGAAAACAAAATTAAAGGATTCTTTCCCCCTCCTTAGGTTTATTGAATATAATTGACATGTAACATTGTGTAAGTTTAAGGTGTGCAGCATGATGATTTGATAATTTGATATATGTATATATATGTAGTGAAACGATTACCACAATAAGGTTAGTTAATCTCTCACCTCACATAACTATTTTTTGAAGGACACTTTAACATGATTCGTGCAACTTAAACACTCTCGTCACCCTGTTTTCAGAATATTTTCATGTTTATCGGTAGCTGTGCCTCCCCACCTGCTGTCCCCGCTCTCCACTCCCCACTGCCTATGCCCAGGAGAGACTCAGTTAATGCCTGTCGTCCTGGCATAATTAACAATCTATGATTGTGCCCTCTCTCCTTCTCAAAAACCTCCTGGTTTAGATGATAACGTACATGGCCACCCACCTATGAGTAAGTCATGGTCAGGTTTTGAGGGGCGGATTTGAGAGTGGGGTAAGTGAGAGGTAAACATTTGAGAACCTACTTGTCCAAACTTCCTGTGGACCTTATGACATCGAGTTATTTGTCTGCTTGGATGTCCTTATTAATAAAGACACGTTGGGGCTTTCTGAGGAGGTGACTGAACAGCCCAGATATTTCACGTCCCAACTCTGTAGCTGTGCTGCTTTTCATTTTCTCTGGGGTTCTTCTTGCCCTTACCTTTCCCCATTTTAGAGTTGTTTATACTTCATACTGCCACCTACTCTTGCCTCTTATTGTACTGTCTTCTAGCTTTACCTCCATCATCATCTTTCTGCTTTTGAAATAGACTGTTACTCTGTACATCTTATTCTGCTTTATATCAGAAGACATGAGAAATTCTTGTCTTTCTGACTTCTCCATTATTTCATAGGGAAAGGACATGACCCCAAGCTTTCAAAGGATGCCTTTAGCCTTATCCTGTTCCCAGAGTCCCACACACACAGGAGGGTTCTGACTCAGTAAACCACCGGTCCACTTCTGCTTTCATTTGGCCAGAATTTCATAAGATAGTTCTGTTTCCTGGCCTCACCATAAGAAAAAAACAAAAAAATCAAGTTCTGGTCTTTTATTGGTTGACATCCTTCATATAGTACATGTAAGGAATCACCAATATGTATGCAGTTCAGATGTTCATAGAAACACATATCCCTGGAAAAGACACAACATTTCCGGCTGATGGGAGAACTCTGATCAAGAAAGGCTCACTCTAAAGCATGTCATTGCTGTGTTGAAGTTTTATTGACTTAACTGAGTATATGATGCATTAGGATGTCAAAATGTAGATAGGAAACTTCATGAACGGGGATTTCTGATTTGACTGTGATGACAACGCCAAGTTAAATAGCCCATGGGAATGAAACAAATAGTTTCCTGGAGCTCAAACAGAGACAGCAGCTGGAGGCTTCAGGAACTTGCCCTGGGTCTTAGTTCTTTTACTGAAGTCCAGATATGGAGATTGGCAAGGCCACTGAGTTAGCGACTGGCAAATAGTTTGCCTCCCCTACCTCCTGTGATTCTAAACCTTCCCTCTGCCCTTCTCCCTTGGGAAGGGGTGTGGGTTGAGTGGAAGTGGCTTTGGCATGTGACTGGGGACGGACTTCTGAGTCCTCCTGTCCCAGGGCTAGCTGCAGGAAATCGTCTGGAGTGCCCTCTACCTGTGTCATACTCTCCAGGGTTAGCTGCCAGCAAACTCCAACAGTGAAAAAAATGCCTGCTCGTGTCAATAAAACCAAAGCCCTTTTATCTGAAAATATTTATTTTAAAAGAATAGCGATGTGGTTTTTTTTTTTTTTTTTTTTTTAATCAGAGGTTGCAAACTTGCAGTCTTTGGAAGGGATACAGCCCACAAAATTTTTTTTTGGTCCTGCATAGTGAGTGTGTGTTTGTTTAAATATGAATTAATTGCTATCGTTTTAAAAAATAGACCCCTCAAATGAAATTTTAGCTTTTTGGCTTTTCTTGAAAAATGGGAAGGTTGGCCTCCCCTGGGTCAGCCTTCCTCAGGGCAGCAGTTGGCTGCAGCTGGGTGGGAGCTGCTCCGTGCGCTGGATCTGGGGCCTCCAGTTTGCCAGTCTCTACCGCTCCCTCTTGTTTTTGAGATACTGAAGCCAAGCACCACTTGCCACCTGTAAGCGGACGTGCACTGTTATTTGTTTTTTCTTAATACTTGTTATAGCACCTGACTGGATCCCGTTGGCATTTGGGTTTGAGATCCCTGATTTAAAATAACAAGTACTAGATTAAGCTAGAATTAAAGAAGAGCCAGTATAACCTGGCTGTGTCCCCTCATCCATCAAATAGTCTTAGGAGTTCTACCTTTTCCTGTCACTTCAGCTCATGCCTTTCTAAGCGATCTTTAGCTATGCACAGGACTGGAAGAGGGTAACCCGTTTCCCCATGTTTTGTGAAATTTTACATTCCTACTTGCTTGGCCTTGTCAGATGTCTGAATTACGAGGCACTTTTATTATGGTCGTAACCTTTATTTGTAACCTCATCTTGTATTTTTAAAAACAGTGCCTCATTCTCCAGGGATCAGTCCGTTTGTTTTCCCCTTGGGAGGGCTCCAGGAAGGGGATCCTGAGCCTGTTAGCTCTGGTCTCATGTTGACGGGGGCCTCTGCATTGCTGCTGTAACACGCGGGAGCTCGAGGATTCCGCTGTTTCCCTAGGCTTCTGGCTGATGGGGCGCTGGGTGGTGGGGCGCTGGGCGGTGGGGCACTGGGCGGTGGGGCACTGGGCGGTGGGGCACTGGGTGGGGCAGCCATTCAGCCTCTGAGGGGCCTGGGGCAGGTGTTTCTAAAGCCAGCGGGCTGGAGAAGAGTGAGGGCCTCCTGTACAAGGGCAGACACTGAACGCTTTGTTGCGACTCGGCTTGGTTGCAGATGGGCTCTTACTTCGGCTCCTCCTTGTGTGCAGTTGACCTGAACGCGGACGGCCTCTCTGACCTGCTGGTGGGGGCCCCCATGTATTCCGAGATCAGGGACGAGGGGCAGGTCACCGTCTACATCAACAGAGGAAATGTGAGTACAGTGCTGGGCAACGCGAGGACGGGGTGTTGGAGAGGGACGTTTGTCCAGTGAACATCCCTTGGGGCCATGCACTGGGTCCTGTTACCCAGAGATGGTGAAAAGACATGCTTTCTACCCTCACAAAGCTCAGTGTTCCATTAATGCAAAGATTTATACAGTGTTCCAACTGCAAACATACAGGGGTCAAGAAAAATCTTAATGGTTATGGTTTGAGTGCTTACTGTGTACTAGGAACTGTTCCTCCTGCTTTCTGTGGAATTTCAGTGCAGTGTGCACATGGTATCAGGGGTTGCCATTTTTCAGGTGGAAAAACTGAGGCTCAGAGAGGTTAAGCAACCTGCTCCAAATCACACAGCTAAGAAGTGATGGGGCTGGGATTTGAACCTAGGCAAGCAGTCGTTACAGCTGGCTGGCTTCATCTCTAGGCTGTGCTACCTTTCTGAGTGTATACACACACCTACCTAGAGAAGCAGAGAAGGCTTCTCAGAGGACACAATGGCTAGAAAGAATCTTGAAGGAGTAGGAGTTAGGCAGGCGGGAGTGGGCTGGGCCTGGGCAAGGGGGTCCAAGTGTGAGGCTCAGGGCTACTTAGGTCACCAAGGGGGTTGGGTGGGAGCAGTGCAGTGGCCAAAGGCCAGCATACTGATGTCTCAAGATGGGCAGGGGAAGGAGGCAGGAGACCAATGAGAAAGAATCTTTTCAGAATCTGAAAGTAAGTGTGCTCAACAGGAGGGAAATGGTTAAATGAATAAATTCTGGTGCCACCAGCCTTTGAGCTAACATGAGAAAATGCTTCTGAGATAATCAGGGAAAAGGCAGGGTAAAAACTGTATACAAACAGCATATAAAAATACACAAAACACATAGAGAATGTCAATAACAGATCTCTCTGGGTGGTGGTGGTGCTTGGGTATAATTTTAGTTTTATCTTTATCCAAGTAGCAAGAATGTAATACTTCCATAATCAAAAAAGTCAGTTAAAGTGTACTTTTAAGTGGTGACCAAGATGCTAGTTATCCCAATTGAGAAGGGGCAGTGGTGTTTAACTATAAGCAGGCAGATGCCAGAGAGAAAGGACAGCCCTTTACAGAGGAGCCAGAAAGTGTCAGAGCCTTGGGCTTTCTTGGATGTTTACAGGCTCTTTGAGAAGGTGGATCTAAACCTGGGAAGGAGGATGCTTCCTGGTTCCTGATGCATCTGCATCTCCACTGATATGGGGACAGAGAAGGTGTAGAGAGAAACGCGATGGTCATTATGGAGACGAGAACAGTAGGCATTCGGTGGCCGTCAGCCACCCTGTTTGCAGGAGACAGAAATATTTATGTGAGTGTTAACGTGTCTGAGGCAATAAAGTGACCAGACCAACAGCCTGACTATGTGTCTAAATCAGGGTGTGGACACTTGAAGCGGGATAATTTCCCAGATCATCTCTGGCCACATTTTACCCACACAGCTCAGCACCTCAACCAGTGTGTTTCTTAATGCCATGCGCCCACCTTAGGTACCAGGGTATTCTTATTTCTGCTGATCCTTTTCCTATTTAATTGATGATTGCAAAGCAACGTGGAGGAATGGGAAAAATGATGACTTTGGAGCTACATAGATCTGCATTCGAATCTTGGTTTTGCCATTTCCTAGCCCATGTGACGTAGACAAATAGCTTAAAATTGGTGGCTCAGTTTCCTTATCTGTTCAGTGGGGAGAGTCATGAGGTCTTCCTTACAGAGTCATTGTGTGATTAAAATGAGGAGAGGGGACACACAGTACATACAAGGAGTCAGCTACGGGTGCTTCTCTCTTTCCCACCACACTAATAGGAAGGAATCTCCATATTTCTGTCGTGAGGTAAGGGTTTCACTGACTTGAGAAATCATCACATCTTTATTGTTTCCAAATTGCAAGTTGTTTGTTTATAGTGAAAAAGAAGATTATTTGGTCATGACAAAAGCCAGATGCTTTCTGGGATGGCCCGTGGGGGTACAATGAGTCCACGGTGCCCCTACAACTGGGCCAGGTTCAGACACTCTTATGCTGCAAAACATCACATTGCCTTTTAGCACTCTGATGTTTGCATGTCAGTGCTTTGAGGGTAGAGTCGGTGTCCTCAGGTGGCTTTTACTGCCACCATCACCTTCCTCCCTCTGTCGGTTGGTGTTTGCTCAGGAAATGTGAAGCACACCCGATACTGGGCATGGTTGTGTATGCCCCCAGCGCAACTGAGAACTGCTGGGTGTGGGCTCTTTGGAACTGCAACTCCCTCTGTGTAGATGGCTAATCCAAGTACCTTGCAAAACAGCTTTACAAACTTGTACTAAAAAGCAGGAGTGAAAAAAGGCAATTGTATTCTTGCTTAAATCAACTTTGGGGCAAAAATGTTATAAAGAAAGCTGAGAGGATATGGTGGGGACAGGTAGGTAGGTAGGTTGTTTGTTTACAGAGCATTAGGACAAGGGAGAGGTTTAGTTCCTGGCCAGCATAGGAGTCTCCTTCCCAGTGAAAGGTGTCTTAGGCTGTTGGAGAGCCTTACGCTGCCCAGATAAAAGGGACTCATCTTGCCACCGGGAGAGGGACATTTGGGTGCCTGTGATTCTGCCCAGGTGTTTCCGTTCAATGGGTGTATGCTACAGGGGCAGCTCTGGTTTTTTATTGTGTTCTTGATTGGTTCTGTTTTGTTTTGCTTTGTTTTGTATTCCATCTTTTCCTTTGTCCGGTTTCCCAGGGGGCCCTGGAGGAACAGCTGGCCCTGCCTGGGGATGGCGCCTACAACGCGCACTTCGGGGAGAGCATCGCCAGCCTGGGCGACCTTGACGACGATGGGTTCCCAGGTCGGTGAGCTGGCACCTGCCCTCTGACCTTGCCCTAGCATGATGCACTACCTGCCTGCCTGCCAGGCCTGTCAAAGCATGCTGGAGAGAGAGGGCCTCTTTTTAGAGAAGATGCTCTCCATGTAGACACTGAGTTCTGAGCTCACTGGAGTTTGCTTCTGCACAGTCCCTTCTCATCAGCTTGGCTTGCTTTGCTATGTGTTTGGGGTGCAAGTGAGCCTTGGGGCTGGCCCATTGGGGCTTCTTATGGCAGAGACGTTTGAACAAGTTTCCTCCCACCACAAAATACTTCTTGTTTCCAAGCTGCTGACGCTCCACAATGCTCTACTGTGTTAGTGCAATGAGTGAAGAGAGAACTTAGCAGTCTCCCCTGATAGTGACAGCCCGCTGGACTGACTGACTTTTGCGTATGTAAGCGTCGGGAGGGGTGGGTGTGGGCAACTAATGTCTAGTTCTGTCTGGACATCAGTATCCTTCCAGTCTTGGCTTCTCCTTCTGGTCTGTTTAATCCCTCCTCCCCTCATTGTATACACAGTGTTCAGACATCAGGACTTGTGGAAGCCATGTCACTGGGGGCTTGGCCGAGGTGGAAGATGGGCCGGAGGGCAGCTCTTGCCTCAGGCCAGGCATCCAGACTCCAGACTCCTTGGATACCCTCAAACTCCTGGCCAGCAAGGGCTTCAGTTGGAGAGAGGGGACCTCCACTAGAGGTCATGTGGGTACATGCCCCTCACCCTTGACCTCAATTTTGCAGACTTATGACTTTCGTTAGAAACAAAGAGAGATAAGTAAGGAAAATATAAGCTTTGTTCCAGGAGTTGTCAGTTATGAGTGCAATGCTCATCGTGTGTGTGTGTGTGTGTGTGTGTAAAGCGAATGCCATTTTATATGATTTCCTTATCCAGGAATAGAGTTGACTTTCTCAGTTATGCAATAACCATCGTTTATGGAATTCGCCTCTCTGACAGAAAATAGGGCAGGAGGTTTATATTGATATTTTTTATTGGATGGCTCCATGATTTTTCCTAGGAGGATGAGCTGCAAACTTTTCTGGAACTAAACACTTCTCAGCTTCTATAATTTTCTTTCTACCTTTTTTTCCGCTGAGAGATTATGTGCCTATCGTGATGCTCGAACAACCAACAACCAAAACATTTCGGGAGGGACTCAGACATGATGGCAGAAATCAGAGACTCTGCCCTTATGTTATTCCTTGTGGCTCTTCTAACCCGTGGCTGTTTTTCTCCCCTCAGATGTGGCCATTGGCGCACCCATGGAGGAGGACTTCTCAGGGGCGGTCTACATCTACCATGGTGACCTCGGTGGAATCGTCCCTCAGTACTCAATGGTAATTGGTGTGAGAGTGGCGTGGTAACTGTTTGTTCATACAGTCGTTCAACAAACATGTAGGGACCCTTTACTCTGTGCCATGCCCTGGGTACAGAGGAGCATGCAACATTGTTCCTGCCTTTAGCCTTCTCACCCTCGAGGGAAAGACAAACAATTGCTATGCTTATTAAGTACGGAAACTTATTGATAAACTCCTGAGTTTGCTCACATTCAAGGATGCAGTCTATCTGCAAAGGATAATACCCAAGTTCTGACCCAGAATTAGAGCCATTTACTTAAAAAGAAGGGGCTTTCTTTTTTTTTGTTCGTCAACCATCTGGGCTAAGCCAAAGGAATATATTGTAAACTATCATCTGGAAGGACAGTGGTCTGTGGAGGAGGGGCCTGAAAGCTATCACAGAGCTGTTGTCACAGTTGGCATTGAAGTGAGGAGCTGGTTAAGCTCTGGCCTTGTGCCCCAAACTTGAGAACATGGAAGTAGTGAGTTCTGTTTTTTTGCCCTATCAGCTTGGTGTTCAGTCTTGCTGATGGTGTCAAACCCAGTCTATGGGAAAAAAGGAAGTCACGCTCTCGGCAGAAGCATCGTCAGGATATTTGTGGATGTCTGTGCATAGAGTGGCACAGGCCTGTGTCTTTCTCCCGGTGGGTCCGTGTCAAAAAGGGACCGAGCACAAATGAAGAAATTTCCCATCAGCAAATACTGAGCACTTATTATGTGCTTAGTACTTCCTACTCATATTTCTCATCACAGAGGCAAGCCTCATGTTTCGATTATTGCTAAAGAAACAAAAATTTTTTAACCGAGTTTTGTTCTTATAAAATGTTCTATAAAATGAAACAGTAGTAAAATATCAAAACCTGTTCACGTACTAAAGTTTCTAGGTAAGAAGAAAAAGACTTTACAAGTTGACTTTAAAAGCCAGTACGTAAACGTAAGTTCATTTTATACATTCATAATTGCTCTTCTTGCTGCACGTAAAAGTTGGCTAATAAGGGTTGAGGGTTATTGCCAGTGGAGGTCCCCTCTGTGCTGGGGCCTCCTGCTAAGAGACAGATGCTGAGGGAGGGGCTGCTGGGAGGGAGGGGCTGCTTCTTGACGGCCTGCTCTGCCCTCTTCGTATCCTCAGTCCTCATAACAGCCATGTGAGATGGGCACCTTCATTATCCACTTTTTTAATTTTTTTTTATGAAGCCACTATGGCCCGAGGAGGTTCGTTAACTGGCCCCAGGTCACCAGCCACTAAGTGGCAACATGGCCATCGAAACTGCCAATCTGACTCCCACACTTTTTATTGTAACCACCGTCCTCAACTTCACATTTGAAAAAGGAACACTCGGGGAAGCTCAGTTGGAAAACTTAGGAATCTGGAAACTTGCGTACTCCGAGGGGCATTTATCTACACAGATCATCCTCTTTTCATTAGAAATGAATAATTAATGGTGGGAATAAACTCTTAAGTGATTCAGCTGATGTGGCAGGAGGAAGGAAGCTTCAGGCACAGTTTAGGGGTCACATCCGTGTCACAAGGGCGTCTCTAGTCTGGGTCAGGGATGCTGCTCCCAGTGCGATAAGCTGTCAGTTCTTCCACCTTACTCTTTGACTCATTCCTCTTAAGTTCACCAGGAGAAATGTTGACTTTGAGATCCTGTGTGCCTCCCTTTCTCCATCTGAGCGCCCTCTGGTCATGTCATGGCGGCCCCTGAGATCTTTCTCCTGACGAGCTGAAAGGCGTCCAGGGGGCCCCGTCCTCGGGCAGCCATCGGGGTCACTCTCCACGCATCCTCCTGGAAGCTTGTTCCCAGACCTCGGAAGCTAATCACACAGAGAGGAACCTGCGAGAGACCCCTGCTTCCCCTCCTCCCGCAGCCCTCCACTGCTTTGTTTTGTTGCTGGGTGGAATCCTGCAGGGAACCGAAGTGTAAATTTTGTGGTTAGCGTGGAGTGTCTTCAGTAGGAAGCAGGGAGCAGCAGCTGGACCCATCCTGCCTTTGTCAGCACACAGGCTGGCTCGATGGCTTTTACGAAGTAGTTTGGGGCTCTTAAAAAAAAGAGAAAGAAACAGCTATAATTGTACTTGTCCAGGCTGCTAAGATGTATGTGATAAGGTCAGTGATTTAAAAGGAAAAAAAAAAAAAATCCTTTCATGATAGATTCTTCGGGGCCCAGGTCCGGACAGAGCAGGCATTGTGTGGGTGAACTCAAGAAGGAAATCAGAGACACTCTGGGCACAAGAATCGCTTTTCTTTGGCCCGGATTGGTATTATTTCTACTGGATAAATTGTGAGATCAGAGTACTTCCACATTACTCTTTAACTCATTCCTCTTTCTAGAGTTCACCCTCAAAAGTGTTGATTTTAAGATCCTCGTGTGCCTTTCTCAAGTCGAGAGCCCTCTGGGCCTGTCCTGGCAGCCCCTGTGATCTTTCTTCTGCCGCGAGGACGCTGCATAAAAACCTGGTCAAGGGGAGGTTTTCCAAAGCTCCTGGTTTTCATTTAGGGTTATTAGCACCGAGCAGACTTATCTTCCTGGCTTTATGGAATAATGGCCTGCAGATGTCTGTGGGATAACTTACGCCCGCATCGCCACCCCCAAATGGACCACCCCTTCACTCTTCCCCCTCATCCCAGCCACAGCATACCATAGAAATGCAAACCCAGGGCACGCTGCTGCTAGCGTTGATGGACTTCAGAGCGGAGATGGTCTGCTTCAAGATGTGGCTTTTAAGAAATGCGCAGACACACATCCATGTTTGTTTAGACAGAGCCATGTGGGATGTGGGCTCTGCCTGTTAGCAAGAAACATTTCTTTAGTGTTTCCTACAGTGTTCTGATTTGTACTTTGATGCTTGCACATTTCCTGTTGGATGGCTTAACTGAAGATAGCAAGTGGAGGGTTATTTGTAGTTATCGGCTGCCTGGAGGCAGGGAGCGTCGCCGGCGTCTCCATCTGTAGATCCTGTGGGAACTTCCCTTCCCCAGCCTCAAGACTATTCTGCAAGATGACTCAGGAAGGAAAACGATAAGGAAAGAAAGTCTAAAGTGAGCCCCTGGATGTTTGTAAACCTGGTTCTGTCGAGGATTTTGCTGCATGGCGTGAAAACAAAGCATTTCTCTTCTCTTCTACAATGAGGGCATTGTGGGTAAGCGCCCCTCCCCCACAAGGAGACCGTCTAAGGGAAGAAGGAACAGGTCCAATCCATCCCAGAAGTTGGGACTTTTCTAATTCAGGAAGGTTGGTATCTTTGTGAAGAACTGCGCCACAGAAACGGTGTATGGTGAAGGCTGGTTGTACAACAGATACCCTTGAACCAGTGTGACATGTGTTAACATACATTGGAGTTAATGATGAGTTAAAAAGTAGGTATAGATGCTAGTATGCCCCGTGATGGTAGGGCTGCGAACTCTGGTTGAGAACTGCCTTTTAGAGAGAAGGGCAGCTTCAGCTCATTTTTTTTTTTTTTTGGATTTCCTACAGCGTACGAAAGGTTCAGGACCATACAGTTCTAGTTTTACTAGGTAAACTCTTCATTCTATCAGTGAAGTTCAGGAGCCTGCACATCTTCTGGTCACCTTGATGGAGAGGCAGTTTCCACGGAGGCATCTTACAAGCTAATTGAAAAAAAAGACTGTAACATGCCTCTCAGGAGAGGAGCGGTATGAGTTTGGTACATATTTGGGTAGAGCGATATAAGGAAAAATATGTTTTTAGAATTTCATCCAGCCATACCTGTATATAAACAAAACAGAACCTTCATTAGGAATGGAAGCTAAACTTTATCCGTTTCAAACTTCATTCAAGATGTCAAAACATTAACAATAGTCTAGGTAGATTTGTCATTAGCATTGAACTTAGGAAAAGTTTTAAATGATAACATTTGGCTAAGGCAAGTAATAATAAAGGAGTGTGTGGTCTTCAAATGCCTGCTAAGGACCCCTGATCAAATTAGGACTATATTTTTTTTTTTTCAGTCACGTCAAGACCAAGTGTCCTAGGGAGGTTGGGCTAAAACAGTCACAGATTCTTATTTGTGACTGTGCTCTTTTCCGGTGACTCAATTTCCCTATTGTCTGTTTCAGAAACTGTCGGGGCGGAAGATAAGTCCAGTTCTACGGATGTTTGGACAGTCCATATCAGGGGGCATTGATATGGATGGAAATGGCTATCCTGGTGAGCTATTTTTCTTTAAAGGCAGATGAGGTAAATGAAGAAAAATGCTCGAGGCAGAATAATTTCCAATATGGCTAAGCAGTGGTCACATCTATTTAGGATTAGGAAAATTCACACAGTAGAAGAGGGTATTTTACCTGATACTTGATTTTAAGGTGAATGTGTTGAAGTTTATTTGGGGGTTTTAAGATGATCCACTCTGTAGGGTTGAAGCACCAGGAGGATGGTTTTTACAGTGATTTCTGGGGCAGCAAGTCTTTCTAATGAAAAAAAAATAGCACATCTGCATATAAAATGATAAGTAGTGAAATCTCATGTTTTCTTTGATATTTAACCGTATTCAGAAGCTGCTTCTTGAAAGGGAAAAAGCTGAGCAGCACCTTCCCTACCCCACCCTCCACACGAAAATTATTGAAAGATTTGGAGCAAAAAGAAAACCATGTCCTTTCTCTGATGGACAAAACAGACCTTCACTGTTCAAAGCGGGCCGGTTCATCCTCAGGGTTAATTAGTGCCTCGTGGTGGTTGAGACTAATTAAGTAAAAATGTATGATTTCAAACCCCAGTCCCAAGTGATTTCCAGTTCAGGTAAAACTGGGCAGTGGAAGAGTGGTTCTTTTGGTGTTTGAAGGGAACGGAGTGGAGCAAGGTAAGGAAACACAGATAAGAATTGGAAAAAATCCAAAATCCTGGAATTCAGAAAAAAATGTCCCTGAAACGATAGGTCATCTTGTTATTTGGAGAAAAAATTTCTTTCCACTTCACATGCCTCAGTAAGATCCAGGAAAACTAATGCAATTCTGTAGGAGGGCACCAAATCCTGTAGTTTCTTACAGTCTGAGGAGTTTTGATCTTCCCCTGAAACTTTACAGAGCCAGAAGGACTGGAAATAGAAAAGGATCAGTGTGGAAGTTTTTGTCCCTTTCGACCCTCATGGGTCTTTTTGAGAAAGCAGTTATTTTTGTCCCGGGCAATTTGTGACCATCTCTAAATAATACTTTACATTGGTTTTGCACTTTAATATATGCAAAATGCTTCCACGTGCAACGTACATCTTATGGTAACCCCAGTAGGTAGGTGGAGACGGTAGTGTCCCCACACTTTACAGTCCAGGATACCAAGCCTCAGAGAACTTAGAGGACCAGTCAGAGCCCACATTGTGATGGCGAGGCTCCAGGTATGTGAGCAGGTGTATTCATACTTTATGATGAATCTGAATGTACCTTGCATTTTTCATAAAAGAAATGACAAATTTATCAGATTTTTTATTTTCAAATATTAAGTCAATTCATAAAGACTGTTGGAAAACCACAAGATGAACAAGCACACCAAAGTGCAGAAATTTTAGCAGCACTGCGATTCACCGATTTGCTCTTTGTTTTTCCATAATGAGGGTGTTGGTACAGACATAGGGACTCACTCTTGGATTCAGATGCTTGGTTCTGTGAAGTAGTTATGGGAACTCCAGGGCTAAGGGGTTTATATTAGAGCGGAAGAAAGGCAGAGAGCTATTTGATGGGTGAATACTTCCTGAATTAAAGTTATTTAGGAATAAACATTACCAGCTAAGACTTGTGGCTTGGTTTGTAGTTTACCAAGTATTGTCAAGAATTTTCTTATTTAAATATGTGATTTAATATCTTATTTAACTCTTAATACATACTTAAATATTTTAAAACTTATATTGAACAAATATTTAACATTATGTTTAATAAATATTTTCTGATAGAAGTATGACATTATCAGCTTTTGAAGAAGACATGGGATAATTATCTCCATTGTACAGATGAGGACACAGAGACTCTGAGGTCACACAGAGTAAGGAGTGAAGTGGAAATTAATCACATGTTTTACAGAAGTTGGAGCTTTTTCCAAGAGTCATTTAATTGCAGGTCTTCCTCTCTCTGATTCACTGATGTCTGAAAGAAATATAATGTGAGTCACATGTGTAATTTAAAATATTCGAGTAACTGCATAAAAAAAGATAAAAAGATACAGGTGAAATTAATTTAAATAATGTGTTATTTAGCCCATATATCCGACATATTAACATATAATCAGTATAAAATTATTAATGAGATAGCTAATGTTTTTTTGTACTAGGTCTTTGAAATTGGTCTTATTTTACACTCGACACATCTCAGTTCAGACTAGCCACAATTCAAGGTCTCAACAGCCATATCTGGTGATTGGCTTCCATATGAGACAGTGTGGCTCTGATTCTTAGAAAACCATTAGATAGGCCAGAGAATTGCTGTTAGAGGCCCCCGACCTCAAGACTGACTTTCATTCATGGCCATGGAGCACCTGGCCAGGAGATGGATAGGATGGGCTTCAACACGTTTCTAAATGTGTATACCTCTGCTTTTCAGATGTGACTGTTGGAGCCTTCATGTCTGACAGTGTGGTTCTTCTAAGGTGAGATGCTTCTCTCTTGCTTCTTGGATCACATTCTTCTTGGATCACATTCTTCGTGGAATTTGTTGGGGGCGGGTCACAGGGGAGTTATTTACCATCGGTCGGCAATTCCCTCTGTCCTGTTCTTTGCAGGCGGAGATGCCGAGTAATTAGGAATGCTACCTTTGTTTTCTCATTATTATTATTCTCTCTCAAGATTTCTAGCTGCTGAGCCTCCAATGCCTTATAATAGGTATGACAGCATCCTTGGAGCTTCTAGGCAGGGTTCGGGGTGGCCTAAGCCCTAGGGGTTTTTGCCTTTTGCCATAAACAGCCCCTTTCATTAATGTATTGTATACGCATTATCATTTTTTATGGATGCCATGACAAGACAGTGTCCAAGGGCTGGGAAGTACACTGTCCTGTGCCATCTCTTCCTGCATCCCCACCATTCCAGTGTCCAGCCCTCCAGGAACTGGGAGCCTCTGTCCATGGGGCAGCACTTACTCCCTGCTGGTAGTGGAGATGAGGGCCGTGAGCTTAGGCCCAGCGCTTGCTGGAGCCCGTGCGGTCTGGCTCTCTCCTACAAAGGCCAGTGGGCTGCCATCCCACCCACGAACCCTCTCCAAGTATTTCTGTCTGTATGAGTCAGAGGAGGCAGAATTACACTTTGGAGTGGGAGCCAACTCTTAGGTTTTGTTAATAACCTGATGGCAGAACTTTCTAAAACAGGCCAGGAGGAGCTTAGAGCTGGAAGGGATCCCAGAGGCCATGTAGTTCCACACCCTAGATTCTTTTCATTCAGCAGTGCTTTCTCCACGTCTCTGCTGCGGGGCCACAAGCCTCCTCTTGAACGAGGTGGACCCCATGGGTTGGGGCTTAGCAGCCTCTAAGGGAATCAGTTAAGACCCAGGTAATTCAAAATGTTAAGTTCTTGAAGAGACAGAATAGGCTTGAGGTTAGGAGTGTGAACTCTGGGGCCAGATAGCCTGGGTACCAGCCCCGACTCTGCCCTTACGAGGTGTGTTTCCTGGGCAAGTCTGGCAACCTCTCTTTCAGGATGCTCCTCTGTGAAACAAGGTAATAATACCGACCTTGTCGGGTTCTCATGAGAACTCAGTGAGTTAGTGCCTGGTTTAAGTGCTGAATACATGCCAGCAGTTTTGACAGAAATTGAGTTAAATTTGCCTCCCTAACAGTCTGCTTCTTAGTCCCTATCTTCTATGTCGGTGGTAATTGCATCCCCATCATGTTCTAGTGGACAGACAAGTCAGGTAGACTTCGAGTTACCTTCGGGTTTGGGTGGGACCAGAAAAGGGAGGAGGGCCAGGCAACACCACACCTGTGCACACATTTAAAACGCACCGTGCTGGTTCTCAGGTATCCTCAAGGGGAGAGTGCAGAAGCACTCTGTGTGTTGGGAATGCCTTGGGCTGCAACTAAGAGAGAAAACCTTGCCGAGAGTGGAGTCTGCGGCTCCATGCAGGTTTGGTAGGCCGGCATCTTCCCCGGTGGTTGAGGCCCTTCATCTGCCCCTCTGAATCTGCCCTGCAAGCAGCACTGACCCGGCAAAAGGCCAGGGCAGTTGGAGCAGCACCAAGGCAGAGAGCGTCCTGACTGGTTTATTATTCACCTAGAAGTGAAGCATCAGGATTTGAACTGTCAGAGCCATCAGAAAGAAGTATTCCAGCTACCAGCTTCTTTACAATAAAATCTTGGAAGCGTTGAGGTGTTGTCCTCAGGTGCCTCTTTGCTTTTGTCTCAGAGGCTGGCACATTAGCAGGTGGGACCGTGAAACCCAGTCTCCCCCCGCCCCCGCCTCCAGGAGTGTGGGTTGGCCCAGCTCTGCCCTTAGGAAGTTTGTTCTCTCAGATTAGCTCAGGAGGGCAGGTCCTGTAGCAGGGTGATAGGCGTCTGGTGTGATGCCACTGAAAGTCAAAGGAAGTGATCAGAGAGGCTTATGAAAGATTTCTGGGCTTTTCCTGGTCCAAAAACAATACTTGGAGTTGAAACAAAAAGGGTTGAGGGAACTGATCTGACGGATGTTGGAGGGAGATGTGCTTGTGAAGGTCCTTGTGTGTCATTTCAAAGCATTCTGTTTTAACAACCTTCATTATTTTGTCTGGACCACTCACTTCTGTTTCCTGCTCACCTCGCTTTCTGCAAAGCGCTGCCGTGAGAGGAGGAACCAGGCATCTCCCCGATGCGGTGGCCCCTGGGGTAACCGGGGGTGGGGGAGCTAGGCCTTTCTTTTGTACGATGACCAGGCAGGACATGCACTGGGCAGGGTGGGGCTCTCACAGGGTGGAGACCAGCTCTCCCTGGTACCCATCTGTTATGTGAACCTTTGGGCACGCCTGTGGTTTTCGGTCCCTTGGCCTGACGTGAAGTTTGCAACCATTTAACAAGGGTTTTTGAAAACCTACTGCCCTGGGAACAGCGGGATGAATTCACCAGCTTCCCAGTCCTTGGGAGGCCTGCAGGCTGGGGATGGGGGGCAGGTGGGGAAATAGACAGTGACCTTAATTAGTAAGTGAGGTGAGGTGTGAACACAGTGCCAGGACAGAGCGGGAGGACATCCAACTGCCAGGGGGGCTAAGGAAGCCTTCCTGGGAGAGGGAACAATTGAGCTGGCTGTGAAAGGGCGGTGGGGCTTCAGAGTGTCCACTGGTGTCCATACAGTCACAGTGACTGGGAAGAGACTGTTTGTGACCTCTGAGAACAAACCCAGAAGGAAATTGGAAGACCGGGAGATTGGCTTTCTTTCAGGCACTGCCGTCTGACTTCCATTAGTTCTACAGCTGGATTTGCTCTGGGAGTCTCACAGTTCCCTTGTACTTGTCACAGTGGTTCCTCCCTTGACCCACATGTCATGGCAGCTGTGGCAGCAATAAAATCCCTTAGCCCCTAGGGTGCCATGTGCCTCAATTCCTTTTTTCTTTGAGGTTTTCCTTAATGCTTTCTTCTCTGAGTCAGTATTGGTCAGTGTTCCCATCTGTCTTGTCACCCCTGGGCACTCTTTATGGGATCACTGTACACAAGTGAGGTCATTGTTCTGCAGCCTCCGATGTCCCTTAATCTTATTATGTCACCCCAGCCCACGATGCCTGGTGCTCCTTGGAGGCAAAAGGGTCTCTTTGTGAGGCCTGGAGGGGAGGAGGTTAAGCCGCAGCTTAGGTGAACCATCCCTGAGCAGATGTGGGCAATGAGAGCAGAATGGTGATATTCACTCTAGGCTGTGTCGCTTGCCCCGGGGGAGCTGCAGCAATGATGCCGGCTGTCCATCAAGCACTGGGAGGTGGTCCACACTGGTGTTAAGAGTGTGGATGTTTATAGGGTTTCGCTGGGTCCTTAGGCCAGGCAGCTTGATTTCATCGGCTCTGAAGTACTTTGCTGTTACCAGCTGAGACTCCATTAATCAAATTCTTTAGAAAAGCACGTAATGAATTGATGGGAGTAAGGGAAGGGGGAGGTTTGATCCACTGGATGGGACTGGAGCTTCGCAGTTCATGCTTATCGTGGCAGTAAAGGCTGTGGGGGATCCTGATTGTGCATCTCTTTCTCGAATTGTGGTATCTGCTGTCGAATTCCTCTTAAATATACTCATATCTTTCTAATAAAATGGAAATTGGAACTTAATTGGTAAAATTTCAAATAATCACTTAGCATCTGGTGGTTCATTTAGTTTTTCAACCAGATGTGTTTTATTAACAACTAACTTGCCTTTATTATCGGGAAGCTAACCATTAATTTATTAGGAAATAAGCTGAAAAAACCAGAAAAAAGTATTTAGAGTACCCTGGCCCTTCTCCTTTGGGTTATTTCACACTTTAATTAAGTGCTGGGCTGAAGGCCTAGGATTTGTCCTGTTGGGTTAGTTCTCGTTTGGTTCTGACAGCTGCTTCTCAACATGCCTAAGTCACCTTCTTCTCTTACCTGTAGGGCGAGACCCGTCATTACGGTAGTCAGCTCCATCTTCCTCCCAGCCTCCATTAACATCACGGCGCCTCAGTGTCACGATGGACTGCAGCCTGTCAACTGCCTGAACGTCACCGCCTGCTTTAGCTTCCACGGCAGGCATGTTCCTGGAGAAATTGGTAATGAGCCAAACGAGTGAGGGCTCTAAGCTGAAGTGGGCTGGCGGGATTGTGGGCAGCCAAGGGGTGTTTTCAGCACTTCGAAGGTAGCAGGCCTACATGCCAGATGCCTTTTCTCTTTGAGATTCCTACTCTTTTCATTCCATTTGCCATTGTTTTCCCAATTTAACACAACCCCCAGCTCTACGATAAATGATACTTGACCCCACGCATCCCTTTCCCAAAGATATGTGGACGAGACTTAAACCTCACTAGGCCACAGCGGAGTCAGACCTGTGGGACTCGTGGAAATGTAGTGACTGGAGCTTGGCCCTATGGAGCGTCCGTGCAGTTAGGAGGAGGAAGCAGTGGGACTTCAGAGGCTCCTCCATGACCTCGCAGCACCAGCCAGACATCAGCGGGTTATACCTTTACTGTGAAATCGGAGACCAGGGGTGGGTGATTGGGTTGGGATGCCGACTTTTACAATGGCTTAGGCTCCCAAAAGAGGGGGCGCTGCTTTGTCAGCTTTAGATGGTTGAATAGAGGCAGGTGTTGCCATGGCCACGGGCAGTTTTCCCCACTCTCTCTCTGATTGGGGAAGGTCGACTTGCTAGCCCAGCTCCGGAGACTGCATCCAGCCCCGAAGCAAGCTAGGATCAGTGTGGGTGAGAGTTCAGAGCATGGGATCCCCTGAAGGAAATGTGCGGAACAGTCGTGCAGGTTAATAGGTGCTTCGTTTTTACTTGAAAGGCTGATTTGATAATAGAAAGTAGAGTTTTGGGAACACAAAACAAAAGGCAAACCACTAATAAAGACCTGGACTCACTGAGTTTCATAGACATCTTGAATGTCATGCATGTCCCCCTACCCTGCAAATAGGGTTGTTTCTGGACTAGCAGCCCCAGCATTCCCTGGAGCTTGTTAGGAATGCAGATTCTCAGGCTCCACTCTGCATCTCTGAATCAGAATCGATTTCAAGAAGATCTCTGCAAGATGCATGTGTACAGTTAAGTTTGAGAAGCACTGCTCTGGTGCACACGTGTGTGTGTGTGTGTGTGTGTGTGTGTGTGTACAAACACTCCACCATGCAGAAGCACATTTCCCTGAGCTAGTCCATTTCTCAGCTGCACCTGGAATGTTCCACCTTATTTAACAATATTCTAATCCTTCTAAGTGAACTGTCTCAATGGCACTTTATCTTGACCTTCAGGTGGATTGAATAGCTTAACGATTAAACCTTGTACTTTTAATATAGATTTTTCTCAAGGACATAGAAATTTCACACTTGAATGCAGGCATGCCATGAACTTGGGACTTGGTTAGTGAGAGGGAATTAACCGACTTTTTGTGAGCAGCCCAGAGAGAGAAAGATACTCCCTCACGATGGCACAGCTCTTGGTGAAGGAAGGAATTGAATTCTGGTCTGATGATACTTAGTTTCGCTCTCAAAAACTGTTTCTCACCACTGCTTTAGTTGTTTGACACGCCACAGTCTCTAGGAGAAACATTTTCAGATGGTCCTGGGACTCGTGTGTCCTCTATCAACTACCAACTTGTGACATAGCTGGGCTCCACTGAAATTATTTTAAAATAATTGTTGAACTGGAGATTAATTTCTGTGTACATCAAAAGAAGGATCAATATTCTAGAACTCTTAAAAAAAAGCAGTTAAGGGTCCATGTGCGTGTTCATTTGACAAGTATTTATTGTGTCCCTCCATGTGCCAGGCGTGTCCCCGTGGAGCGTCTAATGGGAATGACAGAGTTTCTGTTATTTGGATCCCGAATCAGTGTATACGGCTTTCAAACTCTTTACATCACTGTTGTGGTAAAAGTGCAGGTAAATTGGTGTAGCAGGAGCAGAGGAGAGGAAACCAAGATGCCAGTTCCGAGCAAGAGGAATTTCAGAGCACAAGAGAGTGGTAACTCTGACCTGCAGGTTTGGGAGCTGAGCGAGGAGGAGATGTGGGTGTCTCCTCACGCTGCTCCCAATCAGTGGCCCTTTCTGTGGCTCCATTCATTGACCTCTGGGCAGAATTACAGTGAAGGTCTAGGCTTAGCCGTGGTTCTTGGACTGTCGGGGTATAATGGAAGAGACAGGCTGTTGGGTGACATATAGTATGCACCTCATGAGCAGTGGGGAGCGACCCAGCTAATGTCATATTTGGGTGGTGAACACTGGGCAGGAGTGTTCACTCCCCCAATTCAGGTCACTTCTTTCCCTTCCGTCTGAAGCCACATGGGTTTGCTGATGAAATAAAAATATTCCTTTACAGTGGAGAGACATGGCATTTTCTGTCTCTTCCCCTGGCATCCAGGGAAATGAGCTATATCTCAATCTTTGCAGTAAAGGGCGAAATGCAGAAATTGGTCAAAACAAATGAGCTGGCAGTGGAATTATGGAGAGTTTGAGAAAGGAAAAGTGGGCAGCCATTGTGGAAATGTGATGGATATCAGGCGGTGGTGAAAGGTTGCTTGCCAGGTAGCTGCGTGAGTCCAGCCATGGGTGGGGTGTTCTACGATTCAGCAGAGAAGGGTGGAGGCACCTCTAGGGCATAGATCTCCTCTGTTCTCCTCCAAGCCCGGCAGACAGTGCTGGTCAGCTCAGTGTCGTCACCCAGGCCTCTGCACTGAGATCCCGGGCTGGGACTGGTGGCTGCGATGGAGCCATGTCCGTGGTGGTTTTGGCCCCAGATGCCTGGAAAATGAGTATATGCATTTCCAGGGCTGAGTTTGTCAGCAGAATGGCTGCATTTGGACAGTGCAGCCTGGGCAGCACAATAGAGAGGCACCAGTGGTGTGCTGGGTACTTCTGAACAGCTGTCAGAAGTAGTGTCTTCAGTGGTATCATGCTGGCATCTTCAGCCACAGGACCTCTCTGGGGATGGTTTGGGAGCCACACGCAGTTGATACTATAGTGTTGTCTCCAGTTTCTTCCCTCCTTTGGGACTCGTTGGGGCTCAAGCGTCTGCCTAGAGGAGGAATTCCATTTGCTTCTTCATTTTCTGCTTTAGCAATGGAAAACCACAGCTCTCACTTGGTCACTGGAGTATTCAGGGCCAGCTAATTAGCCAAGCCACTAGGGGGGCTGCTGTGGCTTCTGGCAATACTGTGGGAACTGCAGAGGTTTACTGTAGGGAGAATCTCTGCCTTGGCCCCTCAGGGAGGGTGCAGTCAGGAAAACAGAAACCATGCCAGTTATTTTAACCAAGAGAACTTAGCCTTGAGAATTGGCTAAACAGGTTGCAGAGAACCCGGTAGTAACTGCGTGAAGCAGCTGCTGCCTCTAGGTCTGTAGATCAGGTGCAGCAGCAGCAGCATGGGGGACTTTGTTAGAAATGCAAATTCTAACTGAATCGGAAACTCTGAGGGTGGGGACCAGCAACTGGCGTTTTAACAGGCTTCCAGGTGGCTTAGATTTAACAACCTTCGGAACCACTTCTTTGGGGTTATCAGAACCTCTAAGCTGGGAGAAGAGACCCTGCAGAGCTGGGACCTCAACCTTGAAGGATGGGGTCACTGGCTGGTGCTGCTGGTGCTTCCGAGGGGGGTGCAGTGAGGCTGGCTCTGGGGGCCTGGGGGGGGGAAACAAAGTAGAATTAAATGCGGTTGGAACCACCTGCCATGAAAAAGTTGCTAGGTTAAGCTGAGAGGAATGGGAAGCAGGCAGGAAGGGGCAAGCCCCTTCTCCCTCCTCCGGCCTTGCAGCCTCCGTCAAGCCCTCCATCTTGACAGATTCACAGAGAGCCACTGCCAAAGCAGAAACAAACTTTGCAGAGTCCCATCCTTGGCACTGCAGAGTACAGAAGGGTGGGTTTGGAGCTGAGAGACAAGACACCAGCACAGCCAGTGTCCAGTCACGTCGTTACCGAAGTGCCTCTTAGGTCATTCAGTCACCAAATAGTTATTAAGTTCTTAAAAGTGCCAGACCTGATGCTCAGTCCTGGACACAGAGCAGAGAACAGGACAGGCAAAGTCCTTGCCTTCGTGGAGCTTGTGATCTAGGAGAGGGAGGCAGATGATCAAGACAAAAATAGCCACTGCCTCTGCTTCTGGGTGTGTCAGAGCCCTGTTGTGTGTCAAGCCCTGTGCTCAGTGCCGGGATGCAGACACAGCATCCAACTGTAACAGCCCCAACAACAGGTTCATGACATTTCATCAAGCAAGAATTCTGCCGATCCCATTAATGAAGTCTCATTAGTTATTTCATTCTTGGCTTGGGGAGTGGCCTGTGGCTCCTTGGAGCCTCCTGGCTGACATAAGTAAGGGTGGTGAATGCTGTGCCGGAGAGGGCTCTGCCCCTGACCCGTGGACAGGGCCTGTACCTACTCAGGCCAGGCTGAAGCCTACATGTGCCTGTCAGTCTCTGGAGGCTGGGAATGGAGCAGGCGGTTCTGGGCTCTCATCAGCCTGCTAGATGAAAACCAGGAAGGAATGAGCCCTAAGTGATTGTGTTCTGTGCTCTGACTCCCCGCCGTGTTTCCATGGCTCTTAGTCAGCCTAGCAAACTGTGCGTGAACAGGGGTGCCTCCGCTGACTCCGGACAAGCGCTTGAGCCCAGGTCCTGAGAGATGGCACCAAGATCATCCACGCCAACAGCAGAAATAGGGTTGAAACTAGGTGACTGGTCCCCAGAAGCTTCCTCTGGCTGTCAGGGTACATTTCTGCTGCAGAGTATTGCACACGGAGAACATTCTCTGAGCTGCTTCTGGTCTCTCGAGAAGCATGGGGATGAGATAATGAGGCAAATCCATGTTACGTGAGGAATGGGGTAACCTGGTCTAATAATTACCACTCATTCCTTTGGTGGGGGATAAATCTTAGGAAAGCTAGTAAAGTGGAAATATCTGCCCCGCTTTGGGAAACTAAGGGAAGCTCAGAGTAACGCTGGAAAGAGAATTTATTAGTAGAATTTCACAGCTGAAATCATGTTCTGCTGGAGAAAGGGAATGAATCAGAACTCGCAGGGAGAGACCAGAGCCGGAGTTGATGTGAGACAGCTGGCTCCCTCCTGGCCCAGGCCGGTGTGGGGGGCCCTTGGGAGCCAGCTGGGGGCAGGGAAAGGAGGCGGCTGAAAGCATTACTTGGGGGCTGATCAGCTTTTCCATCAACATGACATCATTCGACATGGCATGGACACAAGCTGCCAGAAAGAAAACCCGAAGATGTGAAATGTGCTATTGGAGCGGGCCCTAATCAGAACCAGCACCCTCCCCAGGCCCTAATCAGAATCAGCGCCTTCCCCAGGACGTGGGCTGGCTGGGCTGGCTTGCATTAGAGACACCCTCCTATGGAGCTTCAGCCACCCGAACCAAGCGGGCTGATTTGCTGCTTCTCCAGCCTCTCCTCCCTTCCTTAAGGGCTCCCCTTCAGACACCTTTGGGGTGGGTGCTCTTTAAAACTACCCGCCTAGTTCAGGGCTTTAGAATGGTCTGCACTTCTTGCCACCCTGGCAGCTTCGAGACCCTCCTCACCCAGGCTGAGTTTCCCATCCTAAGTCTCTTTCTAGAAGAGAAAGTTTGATATGGAGCTGGCTTCTTTTTGTATAATTTAAAATGTCAGAGTAAATTTTAAATGAAGGAGAAGCACTAAGTAGGAAATTCTAAAGATGAAAAGTTTCCAAAATGATGGTGCTTGGCAAGCTGGATAATACAGTCTGTCTGTGATTGTATACTTTAAGAAAAGTCTAGTAGAAGTACATGTTGGCATGTCCACGCTCCACCTCGAGCAGAGTAGCAGTTGTGGTTCTCAGCTCAGTTTCTAGTAACTGAGCGATATCTCCCCTCCCCTGAATTGCAAGGGGATATACTGGGTCAATGATTCCGCAGTGAGATGGAGCTTTGGAAGACTAAAGCTGGTATTTGTACAGTACCCGTCATAGTGCTTGGCACATACTGAGGGTCAAATTCATTCACTATTCTTGACTTGCCCTGCCTTAATTTGGATTCCCCCAGAAGCAGAGCCTGAGTCAAGGATTTAGGTGCATGTTGTCGACTCAGGAGGGGATCCCTAGAAGCACCAGTAGGACAGTGAGACAGGAAGGGAAGGCAGCATCATCGGTCAAGATTCTCTAGATAAACAGAACAAGAAGATGTGTGTGTATTGATATTGCGGCTTGGAGGCAGCCTTCTTTTGGGGAGTACTTCTGTCTTTTTCTCTTTTGGTCTTCAACTGATTAGATGAGGCCCACCCTCATTATGGAGGATAATCTGCTTTATTCAAAGTGCACTGATTTAAACATTAGGTTTTTCTTAAAAATACCTTTGCAATGACATCTAGATTTGTGTTTGACCAAATATTTGGGGACCATGTCCTAGCCACGCTGACACAAAATAAACCATCTCAGTAGGTAAGAAGGTGTATTATTAAGCAAGTTACCGCTGTGGGAAGCTGGAGCTGAATCCTGCTGTGGAACCCTAGGAGTCAGTGTGGAACACACCTCAGAGTTACCCCACCAAAGGGACGAGAGAGCTGGGGTCATGCAGTACCGAGGGCTGCTCTGAGGACACGCGTTCTTGGGTATTTCCGGCCTATTATGCGTGTGAGCTGAGCCACCAGAGAAAGCCCTTGGGAAAGGGGATGCAGATGCTGGCAGTCGCAAGTTGAGCTGGATAGCAGAGAAATGGGAGAAGCCAAGAAGATATGGATGGGGCACAGATACTGTCTGCTCTACCTCCTGTCTTCATTCCCACCCAGGCTTTCTCTGAGCTCAGCCAGCTCATTGCTGGCAAGATGGTTCACACCCTCTGTTCTCTCCGTGATCACTCTTCCCGAGGTATAGGGTAGCCATAGTCCTCTCACCTGGGAAGAAGGCCAGGTCGGGGGCCTCAGAGGGGACCCCGCTCAGCAGCAGCCACCACCACCATGGTTCACCAAGGCCTTCTGGCTCATCTAACAGCAGCGCCCATCTCTAGCCCTGATCTTTTAAATGGAACTGGAAACTCTCTTCATTTATACTTATGACATGGCTGTTGCTCAGGAAAATTGTGACGAGTAGAAAGTAAATTGGCCTAAAGTTCAGTTCTAGATCTCCGCACTTGTTTGGTTCTGCGGTCTATGCATTTAAAAAATGTGAGATTTTTGTTAGATAATGTAAAAAAAAAAAAAAAAAATTACACCAAGAAACCAGTACAGGGGATAGAACCCGGCACTGCAGAGAGTTCTGGATTCGGTTCTGAAGTGGATGAATCTCAGGCATGGAGCAAGTCTTGTACCCTTCTGGGTCCTCAGTTCCTCATGTGAAAACAGAGTTTTGGACTAGAATTGCCCTAAAGTCTTGACATTCTACATGTGTACCCCATTTCCTGCTGTTGTCGCCAAGGGAGTCAGCGTGTAGCTCTTGTATAGGCTCCCGTGTTTTCTCTGTTAAAGCGTTTTCCAACATGCATTATTTTCTTAATAGTATCTCTTGGGATGATCCAGGTCTGAGGTCCCTCCCAGTGAGCCAGCCTTGCCTTGGAAATCAACTGTTTGTTGAAATAAGTCAGGAAAGACTTGCCCTTGCTGACCCAGAATCTGCCAGCTTGGCATGGCAGGATCCCTGAGATGGCAGAGGCCCAGGAAAACCATTAAATGCATCAAAAACATGCTCTGTGGCAGCTGCAGAATGCCCGTCCAGGTCACTTTCCTCTCCCCTTGTTCATACCTCCCCTGGTGGCTGATCCCTTTGATGTTATTCAAAGCCAGAGCCATCCCCGCTGCCTGGCTTCCCATACTTGAACGCCTGCAGGCATGAGGCTGCTTTTTATTGATGCCAGAACCTGGCTTCTAAGAGGCTGGTGTGTCAGAGGGGCCAGGGGCTGGGTCATCTGCTTTCCCATTGCTCAGCAGTCTCCTGTGGTTGTTTTATGGACACAAAGTTCATTTTCCCTCACTTTAAAAATGCCACACACCCCTGAATCCACAAACCAGCCAGCAGCAAAAAAAGTGTTACGGTGGGGCTGACCTCTGAAACAGGTCTCTTTGGTACAGAAACACAGTGAAATAGGTCTGTTAATACTACAGCCATATTTAGCTTATACAACACATTGTTGTATATTTACTAACAGACTCAGAAATAATGGAGGCAAAACCTTTTGGGTTTATTTAATGTGTATTCTATATTATAACATCTTTTTTTTAAAATCCTGGATTATATCACAGTAGGCTCTGCCATCTGGCATTGTACACCGAGATATAGGTGTTGAGTTTTTTATTTTCAGGAGGGCAACTCAGTACAGGCCCAGTACAGGTCGTGGTTTTGTTGAAGTGATAAGCACTGTAAAATGTGTGATCGCCACACTCGGCTGCCTGGGAAGAAAGGTTCAGACTTTGTCTGAGTTTCTGTGCGTGTAAGCTCTGTGAGGGCAGGGCCTTTTGCCCCTGTCGTTCAGATGTATCCCCTGCACAGTGCTTGGCATGTAGTTGGTACTCAGTGGCCCATGGATGGGGCACAGTCCAGCAGATGTAGTGTTTATAGAACACCACTCAACATCTGCGATATGAGTCAGAGTTATTGGATAATTTCTCCCTTGCGTTGGGAGCATTTCCCAGTGCTTTATAAGAGTCATTATTACATGCAATCCTGATCATTTTAGCAGCTTCTAGTAATAGTCTATAGGTTCACCATGGTGTCTGTTTCTCAGGACACTAATTGTGTTGAGTGCAGCTAATTGGTGATGTGTATATTGGTGGCTCAGTTGATAACTCATAAGGTTTAAATCGGGGAGAGCCATGAAGTGTGACGTATAGAGCATCACTCGGAAGGCAGAGGGCATCTGGTTCTCTCTCAGTTCGGCACGTGCCCTGGCTGCATTGACTTGGGGCTGCAGTCCTCTGCGCAATGGAGGGTCAGGTGTTGTACGAAATGTGCTCATGATCCTATGAGGGACAGCGGAGGTGGCCTTGTCACCGTGTGTGTCTCCTCGCTGATGTTTTGACCTTATTTATTGGCAGGCCTGAATTACGTTCTGACAGCTGATGTGGCTAAAAAGGAGAAGAGCCAGTTGCCCAGGGTCTACTTCGTGTTGCATGGAGAGTCCGTGGGTCAGGTCTCAGAGAAGCTGCATCTGGTCCACATGGAGGAGACGTGTCATCACTATGTGGCCCACGTGAAGGTCAGTCCTCCTTTTTATTCTCAAACTTTGATCTCTACAGATGTTCATTTGGAACTATGGAAACTACTTTTATTGTGCATTACGTATGCTCTTACTTCCAAAACCTTATTTCATGAGGAGAACATTCCTTTCTTCTTTTACAGTTGGAGTCTGACAGGCCTTTATTTATCTTATTGTGCTGGTCTTGGCCTCCAAGAGGGGTTATGGTGGGCCAGGAGACCTGGCTTCAACTTGTTCTTTTGGGAGGTTTCTCTTTCTCTCTGTGAGGCTCAGTAGTCTTCTCAGAGGAGAGTCACAAAAGCACAGGTCTCAGGGTCTACAGTGATGCTGGATCGCACTGCACCTGATGCCTTTCTCAGTGGTCCACTGGTCCAGTGCACGTTAGCTCATATTCACAGTTAAGGCGTTTTAAAACTGGTTGGACTAGATCTTTCTCCCTTGATTATGTTCGGTTTATTTTTGGAGTGCATTTTTTGGCTCTTTCCCCCTCTTACTCTAAATAAACTTCCAAATGTTTTTCTCCTCTTGAAATTGTTTGTTAAATACACTTTGCTGCTAATTCAGGAGGCCAGGCTTTGATTAGCTACAGAGTGGCATTGGCAGGGCGGGAGTGTTGGCGGTGCCCAGTGCCGAAGGAATGGCCAGCCATTGACCCACGGGCAGAGGGCGTAGGAGGTGGAAGGACCTGCATGACCCAGGCCACATGGTGGGTGAAGCAAACAAGGGTTTTGAGTCACACAGACCCAATTTGTATCCAGTTGGATGAATACTTTGATCTCTCTGTGCACAGTTTCTGCATCTCTAAAATGGGCACAGTAATACTTACCTTGAAAGGTGGTTGTAAGAATTAAACATTACATGATGCGCATACCTAAAGGACCTGGCATGGAGTCTGACACACAGCAGGTGCCATGATGCGCATACTTAAAGGACCTGGCATGGAGTCTGACACACAGCAGGTGCTGAGCATTATTATTATTTGGTTGGGCTATGTGTAATTGCCAATATTCCAACATTCTTGACTTATGAAAATAGCGATTTCATGTAGCTCAACCTAATATTATTAGCCAGTGGCTTTCTGGATGATAGCAAAAAAAAAAAAAATAGTCCACAGATTAGAGATGAAGTGTCATTCTATTATTGCATCGTTAGTGCCAGAACAGGAGAATAACAGCTGTTTCTAGATGCTTCTGAGTTGTATATAGAGAAATGCCCCACACATCCATGGCACTTGATCTGGCCCAGAGCCCATGAGTCCATTGCCCCTGAGATGCTTTTCGGTGGGGTTGGGCTATGTCCCCTGCCAGGATTCATGCTCGGACTTGCCCAGACCCACTGCCCGGAGGCCTCGGGTGAAAGCAGTTCATGCTTCTGTTAAACCAACCAGCCACCTGTCCCGCTAGGTGTTACATTACTTGGCTCGTGGGTGCCCTTGGGGGTGTGAGGCTGCCCAGGACAGGCTCATGTCCACATATCGCCAGGCCTTTAAGTGCCTGTGCTTGGTGTCCATACTTCCTAGTGAGGCATCTTCCCTTGGGCTGCCTCACGCTGGGTCCTCCACAAATGCTTTCCTTCAGGGTGCTTTGCAACTTTTCGCTTTGGCTGAATGATGGCCCTTCATGTGTAGCTACCAGGGTCCTGGCTGCAAGAGAGGGCCACACAGAGCCTGCAAGGCCTTTGCAGATGTACTCAGGGAGCAGCAATAAGGAGGTGCAGCCTAGGAGGAGGGCTGTTTCTGTGGTGGCCTCTGAGGGTTCACTGGGAAAAAGCAGGACTGTCCAAGGCTGTTGGTCCTGCTACTTCCTGATAGCCAGGGTTGCCAAATTTAGCAAAGAAAAATAGGATTTCTGGTTAAATCTGAATTTTATATAAACAATAAATATCTTTTTTAGTACAAGTATGTCTCAAATAGTACGTGGGATATACTTATGCTAAAATTTGTTGATCTCAGTTCACATTTAATTGAGCATCCTGTTGGAAGATTCAGCCTTATTGATATCCTTCCACCCCACACATAGCTCTTCCCCGCTCAGGCCAAACATGGCTGACGGGAAGAGAGATGGAGATGGTGGTCGGGAGAGGGTGGAGGCTGAGGAAAGGGCTCCAGAGCACAGAGCCAGCACGGATCTTTATGTGATTATTTGGGTCATTTTCGGGAACAGCAGTGAACTTGGACCTGCAGAAATTTGGATATAGTCATTGCTTGACCGTTTCTTCATGCAAGGAGATGGGAATGGTGGGATACTTCAGGGAGACCTTTATGGTTCAAAGGCAGCACCCCTGTTAAGCAGTGCTCAAGGCGACAGATGACATATAGCCACAAAGAAAGGTTTTTCTTTTTTTCTACCAGAAATTGCCTGGGTCTTAGCAGAGGACTCTGGTGAGTGGTAGAGTGAGCCAGGGAGGGTGAACGCTAATGAGCTGGCTGGCTGTCCGCAGTGTGGCCCAGCTGGCCTGGCCTGTGGTTTCTCCAGATGTGGGAAAACAGCTGGGGAGGCTGTGGCTCTTGTGGGGCCTGGGGGGAGTGGCGGGGTGGTAGCCTGGCTGCCTCCTGGAGCGGGCACTGGGAGCTGGTTGTCAGGGCCTGGGAGCACAGCTCAGCCTTGGCCTCAAGTGGAGCCTTCTCAGTGGGGCTTTATAGACAGCGGAGGAAGATAAATAAAAATGTTCTGGCTTATCACGAACCATATGGCTAGCAGACAGTGAGGCAGGCACCAGGGGCCGGGTGTGTTTTGTTTAGGCTATCTTTAGGTTCTTTTTTTTCTTTTTTTCTTTAAGCCTATTCCAATCTTTTTTTTATTTCCTCTTTTCCCTAGAAGTTTTCATTCCATATATGGTGATAAATATCTATCATAGAAGACAGCTTGGGCTAACACCTGACTCCCGTGCTAGCTGCGTCGTCTGTGCTCTGTTCCACTCACAGCCCTGCTGGGGCCTCCAGGATGTACAGAACTTTGTGATAAACCCCACCCTTCTGGGGGTGCCAGGTCTCACTGTGATCAGCAGAGCTGAGATGATTCTAGCTGCTTTGTTGGCCCCAGTTTCTCTCCTCTCTTCCCCCAAATCAGCTCCATTTTGGGGACAGGCCCCCTGTACTAGTGAAGTGGGCTGGGAATCTCTTGTGGATCCCCATGGTCACAGGCCCCCACTCTTCCCCTCAGCCTCGAGGCTCTCTACCACTTGGCCTCAGTTTACTTTCCTAGCCTCATCTTCTGTATCAGCTCACGTGTGCCCTGGGCTCTTGTCAAGGTGAACTGACCCCTTTTCTCTTGGAACGGGCCTCTCTCACTTCCCTGCCTTGGTTCTTACACTCCCGCAGCATTTCTGGCACTTCAGTCATCAGAGGCCAGGGTTTTGTCATATCTATGTATGACCATGTACCACCTGCATGGTTTTTGCTTTTTTGTTGGGGGTGGGGGAGGGGTGGTCTTAAACACATACCTCCTGCAGTATTTCAAATATATTTCTTAAATTGGCTGACTTTCGGCCTCAAGTAAAATAATTTAAAACAGAAACTTTGTACCGTCCTATGAGCAGAAAACTAATCATCGCACGTCAAAACAGAAAGTAACTCTAAAAATAAACACATTGAAGACACAACAACATCATTGAGTTCTAACTGGGTTTCACTGTTTGCAAAGTCTCTGAAGAAGTGGGCTGCTGTCCTGCGTGTTAGAAGGGGGGAGATCATGGAGATCTAGGGAAGCATTAAAGACATACTGGCACCACTCCAGAACTTTCTCCCTGATGCAGTCAGAAGGACTGAAGGGGTATTGATTGGGGAATAACTTTCAAATATGTCAGTCCTTTTATAGAGCCGTGCCCATGTGCTGTGGAAAACCATGTCATGAGCCCCATTTGGGAAGCCAAAGTCCTGGTCATCCTCTGCTGTGGCTGCTTGTGCCTCAGCTCTCTTACCCACTGAAGGTGTGTCTGGTCTTCAAGGCTCAGTTAGTCCACAGGTCTTAAACATCCTCAGCCAGGTACTGTCATTGGTCCTGAGGATGCCGCCATCAGCTTCCTATCTTCTCAGAGCTTATACCATGCTGCCCGACTCCTGCTCTGTGAATGATACATACAAAATAAATGCCTGTCAAGCTGAAACTTGTTGAAATGACTGATCAGGTCAGCTGGAGTGTGGGTTCACAGGAAGCATCTGTGGGGGCCTGCTCACCTCTCTGCAGACCTATAGCTGGGAGGTGATGGTGTGAGATGATGGAGCAGAGTTTTGGATGCATGGCCCATGCCAAGGAATAAATGTGAGTGTCCTGTCCATTGTTTTCTGGTCTGTGTGTATTTGACCGGATGAAAACTGCACTTCATCCTCAAGTCATTCACGATACCTTGAGAAAGGCAGCCCTTTGTGGGGTCAAGTGCTTATGAATGTCAGGCAAATTGGAGCCTCTTCAGAAGCCGAGAAACCAGGGTGACAGTTTTGAGTCTATACAGGGATGGTAGAGAAGCCCAGGCAAGGCCGAACATGGGGTCAGTTGCCTCATTCCTAACTGCGAGAATCAGTGACACCCCCTAGAGGCTCTTCAGAAAACCTTTGGTGGGCAAAACCATGTGTCAGACACTGTCAAGGGAGCCAATAACAAGAATTAACGTAAAAAGGGAAAAAAGGCCACTCCACACTAGACAAGAGAATAAGAAAGCACAGTGGCTTTCTGAGTAGCTGCAGATGTTCAGAAGGCTGTTCTTTTATATTGTTGGAGGGATTTTCAAGGGAATTTTGAAACTTAAGTTACTGCAGCTGCTTTGTCACTTGTGATGGCAGATGGTCATCCCGGCCCAGCGAAGGACAGAGCATCACACTCACCGCCCCGTCTTCTCTGCCTTGGGTCATGCTTTGGGCTCTGCTCAGGTGTTTTAGTTTGTTTGTTTTCACATCCAACAAAACGTCTTAGGACCAAGCTCCAGTCACATGACGGGCTATGAGTTTGCAGAGTGTTGGACCCTTTGAATGCAGTTTTCAGAGATGTTGGAGGCTTTTATTTTCA